AAGACCGTTGTACTCTTTTCCTCTGGACACATAGCTTCTTGTGCTCTTCCAAGGCTCAGTAAAGAAGTTGGTTTCAGTAGTTCATAATACTAACACTCCACAGAAATGCAAAGATTAGATTCACCTTTGTAGGACTATTATTTCATCATGTCTAAATGTGGCGTTACCACTGCAACACTTACACGTTTCATACCATCAAGCTTTTCATTGCAAACACATGCAGAAATTTCAGCATATATAATTGGCAGTAACTCCAGAAATGAGGGTATAGGATATCAGAAACCAAGCATCTCCCACAGGAGAATCATTTTATTTGATTGCCATCCCCCACCAGACCTTTGCACCTTGGAGTATAAAAAATGATGAGTAACTAATATTTTCTTAAAAAAAAAATCTAAAAAAAAATTACTGCCAAAGCTACATCAGTATGCGCCACTTCAACTACAACTTCTATCAATTTTAACATTTTACTATATCATAAGTTAAGAAAACGGTGACAAATATTTTTCTGCATTCAATAGTACTTCAACTAGCCAGCAATCATACTCTGCTTCTGAAAACACTGAGATGGATTTCCATTCACTTAGACCTAAGACAACATTTCTAATGACCAGTCGTCTGATAGTTACATAGCAGGGAGCTTTGAATGGCTTTGTGTGGAGTCTCAATCTCATGTTGCAGCAGGTACTTTAAGAGCAAAACTCCTTTTTTTCCAACTGAATTTTGATGTCCAATTCCCTTTGAAGGCTCCCTTCTTATGTATCTTTGAAAATCTGATCTTCAATTTGTTAGCCATTTCCCCCTCCCATTTGATACAAAATTCCTTTTCTTCCTTCTGAACAGTCAGAAATGAGGGTAGAAGCAGCTCCATAATCATAATGTGAATGACGTGTAGTTGCTTGGCAAACCAGGGCTCCTTCCCCCCAATCTTCATTTATATTTTTCCATCCCAGTTGCATAAAACAGCTTCATAATGGAGCAGAGGCTTCTATGTGTAATCTACCAGAATGGATTTATATTCTTAAGGTAAAAGTAAATATCACTGTAGGTAGGAACTAGATTCAGTTGTCCACTGCAGAAAGGAGTTTTGCAATTCCCTACAAATTTCTACGTTAGTCTCAGCCTGTCCCTTTCATGCGAGTGGACACTATTATTTAAATAACCACTAGCTATCTGGTAAAAATAACTAATGGCATGGTTTTTTTGTGTGTTTTTCTTGCTACTGTCTCCGAGTCCTTCAGTATCAATCTTCTACAGCAATTTGCTGATGAAGCAAGCCTAGAGACAAACTCTGACTACAAACATTTTGAGCCCTACCTCAATTCTCTACTTTGTTACAGATTTTCTCAGTCAAGTCATGCAGGGCCAAACTTTTAATAGTGTCAAGTGTCTGACAGAAGGTATTTTGTGGAAAAACAATTAGGGAGATCATGGAAAACCCAAATACTGCATTATGTATATCAAAATCCATGGTGACAGGCCAGGACTGCTTCTGCTGAGTACCCTTTGCCAAACATTTTACTGTTACTCTCCTGCTTTTCTACCAAGAAATTTGTGCCCGGTTAGGATCTATAATATCCTTCTTACCTCCCTATCACTGGTTTGAAAACCATGCTGCCTGAACTGGCTCAGAGAAAAGGAGGAAAAAAACATCCCAGCCAAGCACTGTCAAATTATTACTTATGGCTTTTTTTACTCAAGACAGTAAGGGGATTTATTTTCTCCTCATCATGTATATATCCAGAGTTAAGAAGATCATCTCACAATCTGCAGCTAACTTAAATGAATAGTGTGTGATTTACAGAAAGGACTATATTCTAAAGTGTGCCTGATGAGGAATTGATGTCTAAAGCAAAGACCTGTATATCTTACTTGTTTAAAAACCTTCAGATAGAATGAATTATATAGCATTCCCAAAATAAATAAATAAATAATATCCTGCAGTGACTCCCAGCCACACACTACCTGGTTGGTTCTGCACCACAGCAATTTTGTTCTACCAAAGAGAAATTAAGCACACAAGGAGTTGTGATATAAAAGCGGCACTCAGAGAATAAATTCAGATTCAATCACAGAAGTAAATCCTCATTCAGTGCTTTGAAAATTTACCACTAAGTGTGAAGCTAAAAATATTAGCTCGTAACAGTGAGCTATCTTCCAACCACATCCTCTTGTAGAACAACATCAATAAGAGACAAGTCTGAAAACGTGCCTTTGAGGAATTAATGAATGTTTGTTTGAAACGAGGCCATTTCACTTTGGGACATTTTTTTTGTGCTTGTTTTTTGTTTTCCTGATCTATTGAACATATCCTGCACTTTGGGATATGGAAACCAGCCCAAATCACACCCACAGTCAAATCAAATTTAACATATCTTTACAACACATTTGTAACATGCAAATAGCTGGAGGCCCTGCTTCTCACTCACATAATCTTCCTTTGCGCCAGAGAAGGAGAGCTCTTTCAAGCTAGCAAGAATGAGTTTGTAGTACATCAGAAACTGGTTTCACATACAGTATTCAACATGCGAACCTTCAGCAACCTACACTTTCACTCCATGTGCAGCAAAGAAGCAGACAACACAGAAGCATTGTAAAAGGTGCTCGGCAAGCCCATAGGGCTGCATCCCTACAGTCTTTCATTTCTTTTCCAGGGTTCTGCTTGAAGAATCTCAGAAAAATTCATTTTACATCACCTTTCATAAAAAAAAAAAAAAAGAAGTAAGAAACCCTGGCTGTATTCACTCAATTTTTTCTTAAGCTTGTGTAGCAGCTCAAAGAACCCAAACCAAACATTTTCTCAAGATAAAACTGATTAACAGCAAAATTCCACCTTCAGATTCTTAGGCATCCACCTCGCTCACAAATTTTGTCTCTTGGTACACATCTGATTCAGAAATAAACGATTTGATTAAGTTTCTTTCCAAAATTTTTCATTATTGTGTCACTTAAGAGCAATCAGAGACAGGAATTTTAAAATGTGGAACATTTTGACCCAAATCCCCACAAACAAGCTACTTCTCAGGACACTTTCTAGACAACATCTCACAGCGCATGCTGACTGCACACTCCTGGTGTGGCCACCACTGCTCACAAACCTGCAGCGGTCTGTGTGCTAGCACTGAGCAACCAGTCTGCAGTGCTGAGGAGAGTCATGTCACCTGGAGGAAAATGGCAAACAAAAAAAAAGCAGTTGGCTTTGTCTCAGAAGGTAAACATGTATTTTATGCTTTAGCTTTGCTGGTAGAACTCACCCCCAAATGAACAAGCCTGGGCTTTTAAATTCCAACATTGGGAAAAATAAAGTTACTGGGCTCTAATTTACTTTACTCAGTAAACTGTAACACCTACTGAAAAACTGGGATTTTCAGAATTAGCTTCTACACGAGGTCAACATACGAAAAGATAAAATATCTAACTAATTTCCTAACAAAGCACTACTGGGCACCCAATTTTTCAGAGTGTATTCCTGCACTCAACAGCTATTTGGAACAAAAAGTCCAGCAACGGAGTAGGTGCCTCTCTGTGTTTCAAGGAGCACATCATTTTTTTGTTTGTTTGTTTGTTTGCTACTGAAAACTCCACAAATTAAGCAGAAGGTGCAAGTTTACTGCTGAGGCTTTAGCAAGTAAGAGTGGTTTTAATTTCAAAGGGTTGAGCTACTTTATCATGTACCAAAACTGGTATACACATGATAATATGGTAAAAAAATTATAAGGAGAAGCTTGTTATTAAAAGCAAGGGTGACTCATAGAATCATAGAAAAGAACCACAATGACCATCTAGTTTCACACAAAATATTCTTCTGCTTAAACTACATTAACACATTAAGTGCATTATTTATTGTTTTAAAAAAAACCTTCTTAGTTGTTGTTTTTAATGGCTTAAAATTTGATTGCAGCAATACTTTTACTGTAATAGTAAAAAGTAAATTATACACAACTCTGGCACAAAAGCCTGTTAATCTGATAACCCATAAACCTTCCCCACTACTGAGGACTCCAATTAGAATGAATAACAGAGATGTTTGGGGAATTGAGGGGGGACGACATCTGTTTGACTGACATGTGCCTTTCCTGGAAGAATGCAGTTCATGTCCATAAACGTCAACGGTCTGACAGCACTAACATGACTCACTTTTTAGGAAACAAATTTAAAAAGGCATTTCTTTGCTACAACACTTACTTAACCTTAAATTTTTATTGAAAAGTTTCATTTAAAGATGCATGACTATAATTTTCAGAAATGCATTAAAAACTCCACCCACAAAGCTAGCCAAACATCATTTATGATCCTTCTTACCATTGCCATAGAAATGCTACAGGAAAGAGTATTTTCACTGCTTATAGAAATCCTTCTGTACTTCATTATACGCCATTACTGGCAAAGCAGTTTGGTTGTTCTGCTGTTAGTATTCTACCGAGAACAAACATAACTTATCAACTGCCTGATTGCTGCTTGAAAATTAGGTATCAGTTTACCCCATTCAATTACTACACCTGTTTGAATTTTGGCTACTTTGTCAGAGCAGCAAGCTAGCCCTAGGAAATTTCAACACTCAGTTTTATTAGTCTGTTTGACAAAATTTCATAGCCTTAGGAGCTTGCAAAAAGAGTGAACATAACGAAATACTGAAATGGGGAGAACAACTGAAAGACTGCATTTTGTGGTTTGACCACTGTAAACACTTCCTCTCTCCTCATTACTAAACCAGCCTTTTGGGTTCTTTGGATGTTTTTCTAAGCTCCGCGCACACTACCTGCTCAGTCCATTCAAACTACCTGAAAGGAACATAAAACTGGAAGGAAAGCTGTTGCTGAAACTTGATAATAACAACTGCTGATAAAACACTGATCATAAGATTCATGCGCTGCAATATAGAAACAAACAGCACTTCACACAGCAAAACCTCTTCTTCTACATATCTTACTGACTGTAAGAGGACTGATGCAACAAGGAGAAGAAACAAGCAACAAAATACTAAAACAATGGTAGCTCACCTTCTGTGCCATTGGGTGTCATGGAATTGGTATTTATATGAGAGTTATCAAGCTTTGGACCACTGGGGGATTCACTACTACCACTTAGTCGGCTGTGTGGGCTGGCTAGATCCTGCATTTCCATAGACCTGAAAGCAAGATGCAGCCAGTTTTAGTGACACGTTCAACAAAGATTATGTAGGAGTTACTGATACAATGTGCAACCCACTATGAATCGAAATCCTCAACATAATTAGCACAAAATGAACAGCTTCTTCCAGGGGGATTTTTTCTAATTTCAAACTTCTATCATGCTACACACAACTAGCGATTGCATTATTTCTGTGGCTTAAAAGAATAAAATTTAGATCTGAAGTACCACACTTGAAACATTCACATCCCCTTGTATTTTAAAGGTATGTATAAAGACAGAATCCCCACTATATGAAGAAATATATTCTCTTAACAACCAATTAACAATGTGCTTTTTCAAGATTTACCACTTAGTGGCAATATAATGGGCCTCTAAACCAAATAAAATACTTGAAGCAATTGTTGAAACCCATCATCTACTGACAGGGAATGAGATATTCCTGATGTATGTGTTTACTCTGGCAAACTACTTAATTGTTCCTCTGTTTCCGCTGAAACAAATGCAGCATTAAAACAGTATTATGTCTGCTCACTTGTTTGCTTTGTGGATTACATAAAGCGTACCCAATTGGAAAGGGATATGACCAACATACAGTGAATCCATACATGTGTTAGTATGCCTTAGCACTCTGCAGTATCTCAGCAGCTGTCGTTTAGTCAAAATAATAAGAGAGCAATTCAGATTCAACGTAAAAGTTAAATATTTACAGAGTACTCGAGCAGCTGAGTATGTCTGATTTGTGTTGTTAACAGCCTCATATAAAAAGGACAAGAGTCATCACCACCACGATATATACCATGGTATACGTTGGGGAAACTTGTAAATTCAGTGCCTCTTATTCATTTCTTTATACCCCAAAATTTTGATGATGCTATTTGATGTACTTAACACAAGTAATTGCGTCAGCAGAAATATCATCACTCCAAGGCACTTGAGGCAGTAATTTTTCTCCTTAAAAGAAATGCCTGGGCTTCTTACAGAGACCTTATTAAAATTATATAAAACAGTCCCTCCACGACAATGGTAGAAACATCCTTAAACGTAAGTGCCATTTCTGCCATGAAGCTTCCACATTTTGACTGAGATTTTATCACAAGTTCTGAACACAAAACCTCCATTTTGTATTTTATAGCTTAAAATCAAGTACATAAAAAAGGATGGTCCCACAATGAGTTAACCAAGCCAGTATCCAGTACAAGGTAAATGGTTTGGTGAAAAAGCATACGTGCCTGCAGCTGACAGACTTTGGGGCACACATATAGAAGCAAAGCTCTTGTGCTTATTGATCTGCTTCATGTGGAAAACAGGGATAATTATTTACTTATCATGTGAGAAGGGGAGGAGAGGGAAGGAAAAAAGCTTGCAGAAAAATAGCAATTTTTAATCATATCCTTACCTGCAACTGGAGGAAACAGCAACATCTGAACTGGTTTGGGACTTCTGCACCTGTAAACCAGGGAGACAAACAGAAGCCTCTATTACTCCGCTTTCACGCGAGGCCTTAATTTAAACAAAAGATCATCACCGCAGATGACGATTCTGTCCTTTAAACCAAAACGGAGAGGAGGAGGGCACGGTGCCGGTGAAAGACATATTGTCTTTAAATTGAAGGCTCGCCTGTTGTTTCCTCGCAGGTCCCTCTCCCTCCTCCTCGCGCAGGGACGGCGGCCAAGTGCCGGGACAGTGATTCATCAGGGGCCCGTGACAGCTGCAGAGGGGCTCCCTCCTCCCCAGCCCCGCCGCCGCACACCCCGCTGAGGGCAGGACCCCAATGGTGGCAGTGGGAGCGCTCCCCCCGAGCTCCCCGCACCTCCGCAACGCTCGCCCCTTCCCACCGCTGCCCCACGTCCCTGTCCCTCCCAGCCCTCCAATCTTGGCAGCATCTTGCCCTCCTCGCCTTGGCCGTCCTCTCCCTCGGCTCTCCGCCACCCAGCCGTCCTTCTGGGAGCCACCTCACCCCACACGCGAGGGGCAAGGCAAGGCTGGTGCTACGTTTTGTCCTTTCCAAGGAGGTCTGCCTGTTGTATAAATCTTCAGTATCTCAACAACAGCATTACACGACCCTCCCCAAAACAAACCCATCTCCAAACACGGCGAATTAAAATAAAGCACACGGCACTGCACAAGGTCTTACTCGTAAAAATTCCGCTCGCTAATGAGATTTCTGATAAAATGACTTAAAAGAGCACTTCTGGCTAAACAAATGGTAGGAAGCTGCAACGTTTACCTCTGAGCTCACTCATCAAAAGAGGAATTTGGTTCCACTGGGAAGCCGGCAATAATTTTCCAGTTTAATAAAACGACTCCTTGTATAACTAGGTGAGTAATAGATTTTCATATCCTATAAGGAGAACGCTGCTGCCCCGCTAACAGGAGCTGCTCTGTGGCTGGCTCGGAGTGTCAGCAGGTGATAAGCTCAGGTGGAAGGATGCCGATGGCCGCTGTTAGCCCAAAGCACACAAAGGCTGAACTGGGAAAAAGGTAGAGACCGCCCCAGTGTCTGCACTGAGACTTTTTCATGTGCGCCTCCATTCAACCTGAACTGACATCTCTTAACTGATCACAGAGCAGAGGCTCTGTGAGATGAGGCATTTTAAGTGCCATAAAAATCATCCAAGCAAATCCTACTTCTGTGTCCGTAGTTTTTTTGTTCTTTTTAATCATGGGCAGAATTACTACCAGCAAAAGTAAACAACGGTTGGGGCGGCCGGGCAGCACCAAACATTACAAATGATGGCAAGAAGCATGCAATAAAGCACATGGAAAACACCAATCTCTTTATAACTGGGTACTTATAGCTCTGCATAACGTGATTCTCAGGACATCGCTGCCTGCAAAATCAAACGAGACGAGCAGATATATTCAGAACTGTGCACTTTGTCTGAAAGATGTCTTTGCAATTTTTTACCCCAGAAAACGCAGCAGAGAGCCTTAGGATACATTTCTGCTGTTACTTCTAAACACCTGGAAAAAATTATAGGTGAGAACTAAGTTTGTTTACAGAGCTATCTTCACTCCCTCTTGCACAGGATCCTTTAAAATGTACCTTTTATGATAGAAAAAAACTTCCTTTTTCAAATGGATGTTTTAATTAACTGATATTTTCTTAAGTGCCCTACAGGATTATTCATACTTCACTGAACTCCAAAATGCACTTAATCCTCGCTGTTTCACTGACCCAAATTAAAAATAAAACAAAACTTCTGTGCACTTCTAAATATGTACGTCTGTTTATGGCGAGAGAGATTTCATTTAAGGTTTCATGGGACAGGGTAGGAAAATACCCCAGTTCGTTGAGAGCAAATTGAATATATACCTTAATATATACCTTCTACATCCTCTTACGCTCTATGATTTGTGAAAGTTCATATCCACAATCTTCATTTTCATTAGACATACTTTGGATATATTCCTTTGTGTCTCAAGGATTATTTAAACCATGTGTTGCACGTTACTGTATTTAAAAATGACTCTTTAATCAAAATAACTTTAAAACAACTAATCCTCACTTAGGCTGGTCAGCTGAATCCACAGAGTGGTCCAGGAAAAATAAATCTACTCTCAAGAATGCGAATGCAGACAACAATTAGACACAGATGTGAGCGAAATTAGTTACAGTTTACAAAATGCTACACTTCACATGCTTTCAGTTTTTTATGCGTAGGACACAATTACAACACAGTAAAGGAACCACACTTAGGATGACGAGCTCACAGAATGAAAACATTTCTGGGTGGCATTCGCCAGCTCTCAGGCATTCTCCTGCTTCGGCCAGCAGATTCGCGGAGAAGCGGAGCGCTGCGACATAACTCACATATCAAACAAAAAGTGTGGAAACCCCGCGACGGCCTTCCCCGTCCGGCCAAAGAAAAAGGAGCTGTCAGTCAGCCTCCTGCCCCGCGCTCTGCCCAGCTCCAAGTGCCCCCCGTGATAAATGACACGCACGTTCTGCTTAATGCATGAAAAATAGCGCTGCGGATAATTCGATTGCGGGAAGCGAGGTTCACATCTCTCTCTCGAGCGCGGGCTGCGCTACGTGGGCACACGGCGGGAGAGAAAGGACGAGGACAGCAAAGCCGCTTCAGATTCGTCCGCTTAAGGATCTTAAATCAGGAACATCGAATTCTGATTAGTTAATGAGGTCTTTTAAGTTTGCCTTTTTTTCTAATTAAATTTATAATTCTTCACAGATGGAGGTTTTGTTGATGTTCAATTTGTCTCTCTCATTTTGTTAAACCTCACATAGTACTCCACCAATCCATTGAATAGCCACATTAAATCTGTTAATACCATGCTCTTCAACCCCAGAAATTATTTCCAGAAGGCAAACTTGCTTTGAGAGATCATCAAACAAGACTTAAGGTACACATTTTATCACAGTTTCCCTACCACAGAGCTCAGGATGCGGAGGAAAATTCATGACTTTTGCAATGTTTATTATACTTTGCTAAATTACAAATCAAAAGCATCTGACAGAAGATCGTGTACGAAGCCAAAAAGTTAATAATGTTCTGCGAAAAGTAAACTGTAAATGGGAAGGGATTCTAAATTTCAGCAGCACAGAGCAAATAAAATGTAGGTACTTGTCTAAATTACAGGTTTTCCACACTATTTTTACTTGCTAGAAGCATTTTTTTTTTTAATGGCTATAATTTAAAATATTTCTCGAGCTGAAAAGAAATTTTCTAAGTGAAAATAAGACGTCACCCCACAGAATCATCGCCAGCACATTTCTACAAAGAAACTTCATAGACAACGGAAATTTTCAAATCAGAGCATTTGTAGGAAAAAAGAAAATCGTTTTTAGCAGAGGGTGAAGGGAGGGAGAAGGAAGACTTATCCCCACACAGCCCTCTTTTCCTCCTGTACATGCTCCGTGATCTCTATGTACACACACTGGTTTCAGCAGCCAAAAAGCTCCAAACCCCAAATACAAACCGGCCACAAACAGGCACCTTGCTGACAACAGACACAACTGGAGCAGCCCTCCCCTCCTATTGCTGGGCTGCGAGCGAGGAGGTAGAGCTTGTTGTGCTGGATACTCAAAGACAAATTGCACTTCTTAAAACAGAAGCAGATAATTACAGCCATTTAATTTTTAATTGCTAGTTTAAATTCTTCTGGAAGTGTCAGGCTGCGTGCTCAGCTCACACACTTATGAATGAAGTCTGGGAAGCACAGCAAGCTCTCCCTGCTAAGAATGAAGGACCGCAGCGTGACAGCGCTCCCATTATAACCAGACATTTCAAAAAAATCCTCTCCTCTCCTCCAACACTTTTTTTGGTTCCCGAGAAATATCTCATACTTATTGCCATTGATCACTCATTCTTCTCACTGCTCTCCCTCCGAGGGCGCAGCGTGGCTCCGGCCGTGTCACCTCGCAGGGCTGCAGGAAGGGAGCTGCACCCTGAGCAGGCCCTGGGAGAGCTCCGGCACTGAACAGCGCGTCAAGTGGGCTGTGCATACGTGCTGATGTATGGCTGGAGTATGTCATGTGTGCTCCATGTACGTACGGAGAGGCATTGCTTGACATGTCAGACCAGCAGCCTGTGCCCTGGCAGACGCTCTGCACTGTCTCAGCATGGGATGAAAAATAAGATTCCCCCTACGCGCTATCCAGTGTTCAAAACTTCCAGCGATGCACCAAACGTTTCCACGGCTTTCCTGAATTTCTCTCTGCTTTAAGCAAACTACGGGAAATACACTATTTTTACCCTCTGAAAACTGTGAACTCTTCCACACGCACGTTTCTAACAAAACCACCACCACCACACAACCCAAATCCCTCCAACACTTCTGAGAAATGCTGTAAAACAAAGTGACACCTTTAACTTTTCCAGCACAACCCTTGCACTGCCAAAGACTGTCCTGCCCTCACTGCTGTTTGCCCCAAACACCCACAGAAATACAGACCGGGGTGTGCTGTGTGGGTCCCATTACTCAAGAGCACAATACAAGTTTTGCAGCACTTCTGCAGCTCTTTGCCTTCCTACTTCTAAGCTCGGAGCCACCACGAAACACTGACACGCGTCAGATATTCCGGCGCTGCAGACATTTATTCTGTCATCTCAAAAAGTTCTCCTGGGGAGGTGGAAAAGGGGGGGCTCTGTGTTTTCCTCGATGTTTGGGAAATTCAAACACATTAGGCAAAAGGATTTCCTGCTTCAGAAAGCGCTGTCAAAAATCTCTGTCATGCATTCTTCCTTCCCGTTTTTTTTATTTTCTTTTTTTTATTTATTTTGTATTTTTTTTTTTTTTACTTTTTTTCTCACGCTCTCGTGTCACTTTTAGGAAGGACTGCGAAGTCCCCGTATTGCCATGGAACCATCCCGTACCGGCGTTGGGGAAATCCCACTGGAGGACCCCCGAACTTGGCCGGGCACAGCAAGCAGACCCACAGACAAACTCCAGCCTGAACCCCGGCCAAAATTAACCGCTTTATGCGGTGCTCTATCATCGAGCGCTGAGGCGGACAGCATCCCCGGCACTCCTCGCAAGCCGGAGCGCAGCCCGCTCAACAACCGCGCGCTGTTTCGCAATTCGCCTTTCTCTCTCTCTCTCTCTCCTTTTTTTCCCCTCTTTTCCTCCCCCTGTTACCATCTCCCGCCGCTGTCAACGCCCGCCCCGCCGCTACTCACGGTGCTCCGGGGCGCGCAGGGTGCGCGGCGCCCCGCGGTGCCTCCGCGCCGCCGGGCCGGGGACGCGCAGACAAAGCCGGGCGGAGGAGGGCGGCAGCCCCCGCCTGTTCGCTGCGCCGCGGAGGTCTGCCCAGCAGTGCCTGGGGGCACGCTGCCGCTCGCCGCCTCACTCCCCCTTTTTTTCCTCCTTTCCTCTTCTCCCCCCCACTTCCCCCCTCACCCCTTTCGGGTCGTGTTTTTGTTTTTGTAATGCAAACCGCAGCTCTTCTCTCTCTCGGTTTTAAAAGCAGTGCCCGAAGCCGCCCGCGCTCCTCTCCGCAGCGCGCCCCAAACCGCCCCGAGCGCCGCGCTCCCCTCCCCCGCTCTGAAATGCTTTAATTGCGTGTGGACGCGTCCCCTCCCGTAAGCTGGCTTTAAACAAAAGCCGTCCTAATAGAATAACTGGAATTAAACCAACATTATATCAATGAGAGGAGCTAAATCAGGATACTCACAGCGGCTCTCAAGCGCAGCCCGCCTACACGCCCGGACATGCCGTTTTGATTGGATATGTAACAGATTTGTTCTCAAATATCTGAGATTCTTGCAACCTTGTAAAGAAAGGGTCTGCGAAAACTATTGAAGCCAGCCTTCTGCCATTTAGAGGTATTTATTAAACGAAGTCTCTGAAACTTTAAAAATAGTCCGAACCACGCAGATGTGTGAAGAAATCAGTACTTCTAGTAATGATTGTAAACACGGTCAAACTTGTATTTTAAATTACTGCTGCTCACTTACTACGTTTTTAATATTTACAGCCGTGCAAAGGCCTTTTCCACTGACCTGAGCAGTATTTCCAAAGAGGAGCGCTGGTTGCACAGAGTTAAATGGGAGCGTTAAGTAACGGTAACTCTCTAAAGCTTAGCTTTTACCAATCAATA